GACAATTGCCTTCTCCTGCTCATTCCTGTTTTGGTGAGGAAGGTTGGACCTTCCAGCAGCAGCGTGAAGCCCCAGGCACTCGCAGCAGCGAGTAGAGGATGGAGAAAAGGGGCATGGGGCACAGATAAAAGCTGCGGCTGCATATCCTTATAGCTACTTGGAGTCAAACCAGAAACAGTGACCACCAAGATAAAGTACAGGCAATTAATTAATAATTATTATCATCATTATTTCAGCTGAAATATGTTTGAATACTAAGATGTTTGTGATAAATGTCCATGACATAAACCAGTTGCTTCCCAAGACCTAGTCTTGCTTAAGTAAGCCAAGGACAGTTTTGCCGTTCATTTCACACTGGGAACTTGTCCAGATAATGTCCTGTACTGAGAAAACTCTGCAATAATTACAGATGGACATATTAGGTTTGTGCATAAGTTCTTCTCTAACCTCAGTCCTAGTGCTGTTACGTTCTGTAATTGCTCTAGTATTCACAGATTTAAAGCAAACTTATCAAGGGTTAAGTAGAGGTTATAAACAGCAGTGACTAAATAAACTTGGTTGCTGTGATTTCCAATCAAAACTAAGAAGAGGAGTTTCAGAACTGGGAAGGTACTGGAAGTTACAGTCAATGTCAAGACACTGACATAGGGAAAGCTGCGTATTTTTATTTCTCTGTGGTCGCAGTTATGTGTGGCAGATTCCATAAGAGTCCAAGAAAACTGTGTCCTTCAGTGCTCCCTCTACCCCCATTTCCAGTGTTCCAGTTCAGAAGAAACCTGATTTTTCATGCTGGCAAAATGCAAAAAATACTACTAAACAGTGGCATCATTTCAAGACTTTCAGAGTGTCGAACACTGCATTGTACCAACAACATTCATAGGCATGAAGCAAATAAGATTTTCATAAAACCCTGGTGCTGCATTTAGTCACAAAGCAAGGCAATCCATGTAAGAAACTGAAAATCCATTCTATATTTAGCATCAGTCTAACAGGATAACGTGGCTACGGTTTACTATTCTTCAGATTGATGGAGTTTCGCGTTGTTTCACTGCAAAGGCCAGGCTTCTTAAGTCTGATCTTGCTGTTTTTGCAAATAAGTTGTCCTAAGGTCAAGGGAAACAACTTCCACTCTTCTTTTGGTAGTTCATTATCTTATGCAGGTCTAATACTGCTCTAAGGAGGCCAACACGAAATTGTGTTCCTTCCGCCTTTTAAAGAAAGGGTGCCTGTACCGTTCTGCAAGACTAAGATAGATTACAGTCATTTATTACAGCCTCAGTATTTCCCGAGCAATATCGTTTTCTTCCTTTTATAATTCATGTTTACAGTCCTATAGGAGTCACAACCATTCTATACAGAAAACACTTAACTTAAAATAGTACTCTCTGACTTGCCCTAACATCTTATCTTCAAATCCCATTTGAGGAGAAAACTGAGAGCTTCATGTGATAGTAAAATGCAGCGATGCTCTACCCAGCTGCAGAATATAAAAAGAACACATCCTGAAAGTTTCCGTATAGCCTAGCTGTGCCCCTGGCTTTAAAATGATCTCCAGTCTTCCACCTGCAAATAATACAGGAGATGTTAAATGAAATGCATAACATTTTGGTGCCAAATTTTCAAGAAGTGTCCACCTCCAATTTCTTTTTTTTTAAATATGCTAGAATATTGCCATCTGTGAATGTGAAGCTGGGAAAGTATGAATCTGAAATTTGTCAGCTGTTCATCAACATGCTCATGAGAAAAAAAATGCAAGCGGCAGAAGGCTGGGTTTTGGAGAGGAGGTTGCAGAGGGTGGGGGAAGCACATGTATTTTGCCAGAAGGCAATGAGAAGCTGCGTGTAGACCATGGCTCGGGGTGCTTCTGCAGGCGGTTCCATGGCTCTGGGAGCTCTGCACTGATCGCACCGGGCTGAAGTGCACCCCAGAGTTCCCGTGGAGCCGGCGTCTGGGGCCAGGAATCAGACACCTCTGCCATTTCATCTCCCAGGGATACTCAGTTAAGTAGGAGGGGAATGCTGGTAACGGCACACCAGCTAGGTACCCAACACTAAGATCTCAGTATTTGCTCATGAGCCAACTCTCAACTTTAAAAACCACCATTTTTAAATAACTTGTCTCCTTAGAAATGAAATAAATAACACGTATTTCCCAGGGGAGAACAACGTATTATAAAAATATTAGTATTTCTGATAGCTTTAGCCTGACAGAAACCTTTTCTTTTTTTTTCAATTTCTTCTCACTTGGTTAGTATTCAAAGGCTCTGTTATGGAATCGTTCAAGCCACTGTTTGTAATACAGCATATTAATATATTCATTTTCTCTTTCTAGTAGCAGTTTTCCATTCCAATTTCCTTTATCTGACTTCTACACGATTTATTCTGATGATAAAATGCCCTCCTCTTTCATACAGTTTAATTCATTCATGACTTTTAAAATTCGTATCTTCACATTAAAAATGCTGGCAAGTTTGCTCATGTCAGATTGGTCCCTTCCCCCTCTAGTTTTCCGTAACCTATCTGAACAGAGGCTTCCATACATTTTCTTCTCTTTTAACAGTTTTAATTTAATCCAGACCTTTTGTAAGAGAACTTTTAGCAACAATAATTGTTTCACACATGAAAAAGCCTGCTGACACTCAGCATGATATTAATTATAATTAGCTGCATGCTTCTTAGCAATTCTGGCACCAGTTCACAGCACGCACCTCTAACACTCATGACGCAGTGTCTCAACATTCACTGGAACAGCAATGTTTTCTCAGTGCTGAATGAGGCCCCACAAGAACAATAACTGTGTTCGAAGTCCAAAGGTCCTATAATCTGCTTATCTCCATAGTACATCACAGCTTTTGATCTCTGCACCAACCCTGCTGTTGTACTGGTTAATCTTTCAAAAAGATGCTCATTTTTGACATGTTGACTTTACAACTTTAAAAGGCGAACAAGCAACAGCTTTTGGTAAATTGTCTTAACGGATGCATTGCTTCTAAACTCATTACTTGTTTAACTCTATCTAGTTTTGACTTCTAACCCTCAGGTCTTACTTACACAAGGGTTAAATAAGCTTTTGGACTCTTAAAGCAGGCCCAGAAATTACCTCAACAGCCCCTTGGTGAGTATTTGATCCGCAGGATACCCATACTCACACAGCATCTTCCTGCTTGACCCAGAACTCCTTCCTCCAGGAGCAGTTTTGCTTCTGCAAGGCTGAAGGCCTCCGGGGGCTCGGGCAGATCTGCTCTGCATAAGCACATTGCACTGTGAGGACCCCCTTTACAAAAGATCATTGTACCTACTTATTTTTGTAAGAATGGCCAAAAGAGGAAGTGAATATAAATGTGCTGCCCATCCGTTATATAGTATCTGAGACACAAGAACTGCATTACCTTGAAGAGTGAAGTCTAGGTTCAAAGCCTTCCTCAGCCTGAGAAAGTTAAACTTTGGTGGCCTACCTGTCATGAAAATGCACTTTCACCCCTCCTTGGGCCCAGAAGCAAGGAAAGAACAGGAGGGGGCTAGTCTTTTAAGGGCTGTTGTTAAGCCAAGTCTCCTCTTAGAACAGTCAGATTTGCATTGTAGTCCCAAGACATGTGAATAAATGGACTCACATCAGCTTGTCCTCTAGGTTTGCTTTAAAAGAAAGCATTTAAACATGGGCTTTGTTCTCTAGGGGAAAAATAAGTATCTGCAATCAGGATATTCTGGACTCAAGGTCCTGTGTCAGTGGAGGTCCATCCAGGCTCCTTACCGTCCAGAGGTAGTTAGATGTCAGACACCACCTGGCTGTCAGTGTTTTCTGTAGTCTTGCCCAACACAACACACCACTTTGTCTGCATCCCATCTGGGGCTCCTCACCATCCCCATGGAGCACTGAGGAAAGCCGGACACCTCTTTCTGGGAGCTTGTGGGCAGACATCAAACCTCTGTGACTAGAGCTGGCTGTGAGCCTTGTCCTGGCTAACCACTACGCCTCTTCTTCATGTGGGTATTGCTCACAGGTCACTGTCCAGTCAACTTTTAACCTTTGGGCAAACTCAGTACACTGAGCTTTCGTGGTACGTCACAATAACACATTTTCAAAAACCTGAAAAGTTCTTGACCCTGTTTTCTGGAATATTTCTTACATTCCAGCACCTTTTCCAAAATACTGCAGTTAACAGCCTCTCAAGATCATGTGTGCAGCTGTACGAGCTCCCTCACCCCTCTCAGACACTCTGCTCACGTATTCAGGGATTTCACTGGTTGCCCCAAATACAGTATTGGATTAGGAGTTTTAAGCATCCACTTATCACCTCCTTTTTAGGTTGACTTCACACCAGGATGAAATAAAACTGCCTTGAGTCTTCTAATATCTAGCATAATTACAACCTTCGCATGAGGCATGGGGTCATTAACAAGAAAGAAGATTTTTAAATTGTTTTACAAGCCAGCTCATGCTAGTCTTTGAATTGGCTCCTCGTGTACCCCAGGAAACTGGTTTGAGAATTGGGATGGCCAGTGGCAGGCAGGGGACCGATACAGCTAAAGAAAGCGCATGAGCCACTTCAGAAGATACGTTCCAAGTTCCTCCCCAGGTCTTTTGCCTTTTATTCTCCAATTCAGGTATTACATTTCCACTGGTTTCCACCAGGATTGTGCATGCACCTTGACATGTTCACAGAAGTTCCACGATACAGAGTTTCACAACTGGGACAGGTCCCTACAATCGGGACACCAGGGTGACAAAACAGATTCTGGAGAATTTCCCACTGAATAGGATGGAGAGAACATAATTACCACATTGTAGCACTACAATGCCTCATAAACATAGAATAGACTAGGTCCATTTACCACAAAAATCACAGAAAGTAACTGATCAAAGAATATATCTTTTATGTAAAATATACATTTGTAGGATATAATTTTAATACAACTTTTATACTTACTGATGTTGGGTTTGCAACACTGAATTAAAAAAAAAAAAAAAAACAAAATAGTCTCGCTGCCAGAATTTTATTTCTCATAATACTTATAGTTTGAGGTAACAATGAAAGAAGACTGTGTGCTGTGAACAAAGTCAGTGATGTTTGTCTGCAGTCACACTTCTGTTATCAAAGTGAAAAGTAAACTTAAGCCTTGGCATGTACACTAGAATTCATACAAATATAGGTCATGGCAAACTGAGAAAGCAAGGACTTATGCAAACCTACTCTGTTCATATTTGTGACCTTTGCAAAATATACCATTATTATGACAGAAGTCAAGACAGATGTAGTTTACATCACTATCATTATTGTGTGTGTCTTTGTATGATCCACAGCACAACTTACTGCAGGAACCAGGAATAATACACATGGGGGTGTGGGTCATTGCATGGAGCCTTAGCAATGATGACTTGAATTCAGCTTTCCTTGATATAGATAAAAACTGATATTCCATGCACACACGTTTTATTTACAGCTGACTCATCAACAGTGACTAGTCACCCCTTCCTCTGGCAGCAGTAATTATAAGCAGTCTTCAATCTTCTTTAACAAGCTCTACTTCCCATGTAAAGTCTCAGTGACCTCCTCAAGGCGTGAGTTGTTTATCAGGGCCCATTCAGCAGCAGCAGTCTCTTTCCAGTACAGTCCTTGGTATGGCTAAATTCCATTGTCCCTTTTTCAGCAGTCAAAAATCCATGATAAATTCTGTACAACACTGTAGTTAATATAACAGCAGCACCAGATATTATATTAATTCCTTTGCTAAAAGCTGTTTGCAATTATCTCTCTATTGACAATATTTTACCAAAACTAAATCGATGTACATCTCTAAATATCAGAAATGTATACTTTGATAAATACATTATTGTACAAGAATTCTGACATGCAGGTCATGCTATTGGGCTAGGCTATATACAGAAGAACATGTTACATGGTCAACAATAAGTTATATTTCTTTTCCTAACAAAAAAAAAAGACAATCAGGGATTATTCAACAATCTCATGGATCTCTTAAGATTTGGGTTGTTACAGTCTTTCCCATGTAGTTCTAGAACTCTATGGTTTATAGTAATTTTTCCTCACCAGCCCAGAACATAAAATTTGCCATTGCATTTGTCCTGTTGCATAAACAGAGGTTAATATTGAATGAAAAAGCCACTAGAGGAGATACAGTTTCAAAACTAACGAATGTTGGTTGCTAGAAGGAAGGTTGATGCAATAGGCAACCGGTCAGTACTGTAAAGCCGCTACTAAATCCCACTCAAAAAATCTTCGGAGTGCTCACATGAGTTAGTCTAGACAATACTAACTTGCACTTGAAAAATATAAATATTTGTATCTATACACAAAAGTATAGTCCATATGAAAAAAAGTGAAAAGGAGAAAAATGTCCTTAGTTAACCTTAAAAGAGGGGGGGCATTTTAACAGTATCTCTGTGCTTTATGGAGACAGATGGAGAATACAGTAGACAGGTTGCAAAACAGACAGACAAACAACATATAGGACAAAGCACCTCAAAAAACATTGACTGAAGAAATTTTTGCAGCTCATGAGCCAGAGGTATAAGGCTGGTCAAAAATCCGACTTGAGAACTACTACCCTCTTACAGTGGTACAAAAAAGCCCCCAATAATCTTCTTGATTTTACTTGGTACTCAGCCTCTGAAAATGTTGAAGAACCCTGGAGCAGAGAAATGACTACAGTACCAAGCAGCACTTGCTAGCTTAAAATTGCAAGTCTGGATGGCGTTTACCTTTCTTGCATGTTTTGTGCCTTCCCCAAGCCATTAAGAAAGAGATCTGGCTTCTGCTTGCGTGTAACCAGTAATGACAACCTCTTTGCAGTTATCTGTGTGCAAACAACCGGAGACATTCAGAACTCTGATACAGCAATCCAGTACCAAAGTAAGTTAATCACAAAATAAAGCCATTTATAAACGAGTAGATCATTAAAAAAATAAAGGAAAAGGTTAAACAAAGAACAATCCCACATGCAGACCATCAGCAGGATGGTACAATGTGAGAACACACATCCAGAGCCCTCTGTGGTCTCCACGATCGGCAACACTGCTTGTCAGGTGATGGAGACAGGATGGTCCATGCAAATGAGCAGACCCAAGTCACATTGTGTGCAACCAAGACACGATTCCAGACATCTTCAGAATGGATTAGAGTCACAAGAAATGGAGGTTCAATGGAGTGACTGATAATTAGTTGGAAGCACGTTATTTTATGTACATCTCCCTGAAAATATGCTTATTTATTGAATATACTGGCCAACGGCATCCACTACCTGTCCTTTTTATTGCCATGGGAAAGTAGGACAATATAGTAGATAAAAGGAGAAGCGCTACCTTACATAATCTTTAGAAGCCAAGATAAAAATCTTCAGCTACCCAAGTGGCATTTCTTACTACTGACGCTTATATTATGCAGGAGTTATACCATACTTGTGGAGCCTATGGTTAATGCTACATTTGTTTCCCATATGTGGTAAACAATATTTGAGTTAATACTATGTAGTCGATTGATGCCATCTGGTTTACAAGATGGAAGGGATGGGAGACCGAGAGCGCCTTAGAGGACAAGGTGAGCTGTAGGGTGATGTTACTGGAGACAGTCGCAGAGCATTGCCTGTCAAGCCAGCTATGTTGTTTAAGCTTCGAGATTTTTCGTAGCCTTGTATGAGAAAATGCACAGACATCAGTTGAATTCAGCCAAAAAAATAGACAAAGACAAACAATACAATGTAATCCAAGGACCTATCTGGGACTCAGAGGGAATCTGCCTGCAAAAGAACTCAACGCTGAAAGACATTACTACCAAAATATATTAATAAATTAAATTATTTACAAATTAATGCAGCTATCTTTCCCAGAAAATTAAACAGACCATCACACAAGAGGTCTGACCTGCTCTTCCACATCCCATCTTGCACTCAGTGCCGCTCTGTTGGCTTCAGCAGGGTTGCACAGAGTGCAAGATAAAGGATCCCAACAGGGTTACTGGGTGAGCTATCTGGCTAAGCATAATCAAAAACCCATTAAGACAGACTTAGAGTTATAAAAACTCTGCAAAACCCAATTCCTAATAAAGGATGAGTTTTCTTTAAAAATAAATAAAATAAAAACCAGATAAAATTGCATACAGTATCTGTAAATCACTTCTGCAGAGGATTGAATGATACTATGGGAAAGAAGCTCCATCTTCAGAAATATTAACCCTAAGACTTTGTGTCTAGTATTAGAGTATAATAAGATAGCAGAGTTTGACATATATGCAAATGCCTCCTGATTGGCAAATTTAAAACATCGTATCTGTGCCGGTTCTCCAGCTGACTCAAATGAAATAAACTGTATTAACCACGTAAGTAAATAGTAAATAATTAATCATTAAATGAGGCAACCATATAATGCTTCACAATTTGGAGGGAACATTGCACTTGCAGAAATTTCTCTTTGCACACACTGTAAGCTCTAGCTACCTGCTTTTTGCTACATATAGATTGTTTTCACCATGTTGAAGCTATGCTGTAAAATGTTTGACAAGCATTGCTGTTCACTGCCTCACTTTTTTGATACTCAAATATTTTCAATAGCACCTGAATAATCCCACGTATGAAGAAAGGAATCAACCCATCGGTCTGGAGAGAGACAAAGGAAATACAGTGAATATGAAGACGAACAGGACCTCACTCCTCAAGTACGCATTTCAGTGGCACTACCTATTTCCTTGAAGACAAGTAGGTGCCTTCTTTCCTTGAAGACAAGCATTTGGCAGGTTAAGACACTCAGGTATAAACTACCTACATGGAAATACTGAGGCTTTTCCCACAGAAACTATAAAATGCCAATGACAAGACAGCTAAACATCACACAGGATGTCACCAGACATTTCTTTTCTTATTGAAACAGTTACTGGCTCAAATTCCAGATCTCCAGATAACAGACAGTTAACAGACAGCTGTTAGCAACTGCAAGAAAAATCGTATCTTAGTTTCTCCCCTAACGACAATTAACATATTTCTTACCTACTAAGAATTGCACACTGTAAAACTGTAGTCAAAGCAAATGTATAACCTCATGTCTGCTGCTAAACCTTTGTACAATGTTATCTCCAGATTGCAAAGGCATGCCGGTATGTGATGCTTCACAGACTTCTGATACATTTCAAAAACAGCCTTCAGTTTCTGAGTTTCTATCAGTATTTACACGGATTAGAAAGAATCATGTTTGAAAGGGGAATAGACAGGAAGCACAATGCTAGTATATATATTTAACTTCCCCTCTAAACATAAAGCTTACCAAAAAAAGCAAAACAATAAGGTAGCTTTTTTTTTTACAGAGAAACTAGGAAACTATTTTTAAAAAATATTTTTCCTGCTACTTTTCTAATGATAAAAGCAAAGAACTGATAAAGGAAGATGGCAAAGATGACAAAGAAAACAAGAACTCCTAAAAAATGAAAACCAGATACACAAGATGAATAGAGATAGAGGCATGATCCAAAACCAGCATTTTCCAGGTATTTCAGTAGGGGTTGGATCACCTCTGAATCAGTATCATCTTAGAGATGGAGATAAGGTGCTAATGCGAAGAAGCTCCGAATAAATGATCATTGAACACAACCAAGAACCAACCAAGGAACAAGTCAAACAAGAAAGATGTACCAAAAAAAAGAAAGGGAAAAAAAAAATGGAAAAGTAATAGACTTGATGTGTGAATTAAATTCAAGTATTCAAAACCATTTGGATGCTACTTGAAGATGTTTTCTGTCTATGAGCTAAGTCCTATACTCTGTATAAAATAAACTTCAAAGCCAGTGGCTAAAACATTTCAGCCAAGACTAAGGTTATCATCAGAGCCAGCCAAAGAGCACACTTCTCATTGAGAAACTGTCAGTTCTGAACTCAAGCCCCATTTTTCTAGTAAAAACTATGATTTTCTCTTGAATATAGATTCTGAAATGAAAATGCTCACGTGGTCTCAGTAAAAAATATGTTTTATTGTTATATGAATAAGTCTTTAGTAGCTAATGGGTAACTTCTTTTATTATTTCTGATCTGTTCCAATTATGGCTACTGCCAAGTGAACAGCACTCAAATGTTTATACTAACATTTCTAAAAGAAGACAAGAACCTTATCTTGCAAGATGCCATGGCAATCTGCCTTATTCAGGTGTTCTTGGCCTACTCAAAAGACTGGACCCTTACCACTGGAGATATTGTAAATAATCCTAGTTGTTGATAAGGCAGTGAGAGATATACATTCAGTGGAAAGCATTCTAAATCTGTGCAAAAACATGTTTGCAATGAAGTCCCATTTAATCTAAACATTATATATAGGAATACGTAAAACACAGGAGCATAGAGACCATCATACACCTTACAAATATGACATGCATCAACCTCAGGTTGCATACCTGCTTTCACAAGTACAACCTACTGAGCTCATGCTGTTGAAATGTAAAAAGAGCATTTGCAGAATAACCAGAGAGAAGTCCGTTAGTGCCTATGGCTGGCTAGGATAGCCATGTTTGCTGTACACAAAGCAAGTTAAAAAAAAAAAAAGGGGGTGGGGCAGAAAAGCCTCAGCCAAAAATGTTTGTCCAGCACCACATGGCTAGTGCAGGTGAACTCTGAGGTGAACAACTGCACATCAGCACTCAGGAATGCGAAAAATGTCGGAATGATACAATTTGCCAAGAAACCAAAGCAATTTTTATCTAAGGAAATAGCAAGATTACCACTGGCATTGCTGATTTGGGGTCTATGTTCTGAGGTTGGGTTTCCAGTCACAGCTAGCTGTGGCTAGGATAGCCCCACCATCAGTCTCCTGGGTGATACGTACAACAGCAGAAGGTTCTGCAAACTCTGCCTGGGGCACTCAATCCTACTGAACAGTGAGTAATCAGATTTGAAGAGGCTGAATAATTAGAAAGGCATTTTAGCACCCTGCAAGATCAAACATTTTTTATTGTAGTTGAATTCTGGTTGGGGTAGACGGTCACCTTTTAGCATCAGTGGTGTGCTGCAAAGAGGAAGCAATTTGTGGCACTATAAACCCAAACTTTTCTTTGAAAGAAATCTAAATAGCATCTCCTATGATATGCTTTGACGTGTTCAGAACAAAAATGTTGTATACTTCTGACATTTCAACCTCTTAAGTGTAATTTATTCAGCTGTAAGTTTCACTAAGTTCCTAACTGCAGACCAAAGTTATTAAATAACTACTTCGTCTTTTAGAATGACAAATGGTATTGAGTGATGAGTGGCTGGATGAGCAAGGTCTGAACTGCAGGCTTTTCCATTAAAGGTAACAGACAAGTGAAGACACAAGTGAAGTGAGTGTCCAACATCAAGCACATTTTGTGAAGACTAAAGGGGATGAGTGTTTCTAAAAGGAAAACAAGAAAAGAATGACTAGGGATAAAGAAAAAAGATACATTGTGAGTACAGTCTTTCCTCTGAGAGCATTGTGCACAACATTTTACTCTAAGCTTGCTTTTCACAAGCACATCGCTTAGCAACCTTTTATGATCTAATGAAAGAAGTCCATACCTTTCCTGATCCCTCCATCAGTAGCACACGTGTAATCACCTGTTGTCAGTAGGAAACATGTTCCCCCTCTTCTGTTTTTGTCTCTGGTACTAGAGCGTCTGATGGGAGGGAGCCTTTCACCAGGTGAGAGTGGCTGCTCACTTCCTGCACTGTCTTCACCTGATAACACTGGTTAAAGCACCATGCCCATTTACAGACAATAATGAATGAAGAAATGAGACATCACAAAGAGCTTATGCTGAATGCCGGATATTCCCATCACTCAAAAATCGTTATAAGGTAAATCATTAGAAGAAAACAAGATCGCAATTCACCATTAATCAGTACAAAATGGCAAAAAATAATATTTTTTTTATTCGAGAACAAATGACCTTTTGACTTTCCTGTTCTTCTTTTATATAAAGTTCAACTAAACTAACATGAAATAAGAAATAAGCAAATCAAGGCTCGGTTAGCTGGCTATAACGGACTGTAACTTTTCAGAGTACAGTCAGCCTTGGATATTTCAAACAAGTATTTACTCTTTTGGCTATCCTTTTTGCTGAACAAGAGGTCGTGTTAGTCATTTTTGCTTAGAATATGTTTTATAGCATATTTTAAAGACAATCCCTCCCCCAGAAGGGTTAAATTGTCAACATTTGGCACTAAAATCTGTTTAATAACACACTTCGCTTCCATTTCTGTACTTATAACACTTGCACTGCTGGTCGGCGTAAGTACCCACATTACTGCTGTCTTTGGTCTGTGTCGCTTATTTTGTCAAACAGCAGAACTCTTACCTCTCCTAATTTGGCACTCCCAAAGGACTCTCTCTTAAAATTATCTACTATTTCAGATTTGGGCCCCACTTCAAGAAAAAAAAATCTCTGCTGAGTACAGCACATAACAGGTAATGGCATGTCATTGACTTCAGCTTTACCTTTGCATTTAAACCTGTCTGTCCGAACTGGTAATGCAAAGGGCTATATTCAGCCTTGAAGTTTTGCACAGAATTCCTGGTGACTCTAACAGCCTTCTCTACCCGAAATAAAGCTACAGTGCACGATGTGAGCGGTGGCACTACTGAAGAGCAAGTTAACACTTTAAAATGCATCCTTTTTGCATATCTGCTTTCTCTCTAACTTCAAGGATTATAACACCTTGTAAATAAAGCTGCAGACACAGAAAAGTGTCTCTTTGCTCTGATCACACTGAGCCTCCTCCATTCCGGAATACCTTTAGTAGGACCTGATGGCATGAAAAAGCTGTTATCATTAACACTTTAAAGATGTTGTCTGAAAGTGGGTATCAGTCAAAGCACTGTAAAACTAACTATATTCCACCCTCAGTGCGAGTCCTTTCAAGGGTTTTCGTCCTCTTAAATATATTTAGGATGTTCAAAAAGCTGTGTTAACTTCGTGAATGCTCACTCAGAGACTGAAGCCGAGCTTCTTTGAACATAAATGCTATTCAGTAACAGAGCAACAGACCAAAGAAGACGGATATTGTTCAGAGACCGATTTTCCAGACTCTTCTTTTTAAAAAAATAAATTTCAATTATTGAATGACACCAGTCATGGGTGGTTTTGCTCTTATTATTGTTTAGCAGCTTTCCAACAGGAGTCTAATGACTGGTATGTGAGTTTTGTAATCAGATCGTGCTTAGCTTAAGAATAAATACATTCAAGAAACAAACAAAAATATCCTCGCGCTAAAAAATTTGTTTTAATTATACTGAGAGGTAAAATTTACTCTTTAATTTGAAGAGATATGGAATATGGGGCAGTGGCTTGGAGGGGCAGAGGCTGTCATTTGCTATGCATTATCACAGTGATTAGCACCAAATACTCCTTATAAATCATTTGGAACTCTAACAAATAAGGTAATAGAAATCATAAAAATCAACACTAATAACAATGATGTTGCTAGGGGCTGTCATTTTCATTTTTCCTGGTAAACTTTACATCAGCTATGCTATTATCATTCATTAATAGTAAATATCATGCAATGTCTCATCTAACACAGACAAAAAAGGTTCTTCTAGCCAGGGAAGCAGAATGCCAAATGGAAAAGAAAGATAGAAAGAGAATTTCTTCTTATTTCCTTTGAGTGCTGGGCTTTTGATGTAAAGCACCTGCTCCTTTTAAATGACTGCTCCTTTGTAGGATCTTGCTTAACAGGCCACGATGTGGCACAGGCAAAGCTGACACAAGAGACAGACACTGAGGCAAAACACCATGGAGTCCAACAGGGTGGGACACGGTGGCTGCTCAAATTGTCACAATCATGCAGAAAAACAAGAAACATCCATACGACGCAACAAACAACAGGCAAAAGAAAAGGTTGATATCATCAGCAGGAAAGCATTCTCAACAGAGCAAGCAAAACTGTATAGACCAGCTACATAGAGGTTTGGGAACATCACTATACCTATTTTGTCCTCTATGAGACTGACACACGCAAACACTGGAGGGGAGAAGGGTGGGAGCTACATCTTCTCCTGGCAGAAAGACTGGCTGCTTTCTGACCCTGACCAAACATACTGGTCTATAAAGTGCTTTCAGAGGACATGCATTTCCAGTGGGGTCCTACCTGATGATCTGTTGTGCTCCATCAGCTGGTTGTCCTTGCCCAGGCAGATGTCCCCCTGTGTGCTATTGCAGGCCATGTTCAAGTCAGTCTTGCAGAAGGTGGGCGAGCTGGCTTGAGGAGCAGGAGGGATGTGCTTCTTCCGTTTCCTCGGCAGTTTCTGCTTTGCCATGGCCAGGGAGTAGTACATCCCAAAATTGTTAACAATCACAGGCACGGGCATGGCTATGGTGAGCACCCCCGCCAGCGCACACAGGGCTCCCACCAGCATGCCTGACCAAGTCCGTGGATACATATCCCCATATCCCAGGGTGGTCATGGTGACTACAGCCCACCAGAAGCCAATAGGGATATTTTTGAACTGTGTGTGCTCACTTGCTGAGGGGTCATTAGGCTGGGCTCCCACCCGCTCTGCGTAGTAGATCATGGTGGCAAATATCAAAACACCGAGTGCCAGGAATATTATCAGCAGCAAAAATTCGTTGGTGCTGGCTCGCAGAGTGTGGCCCAGCACCCTGAGTCCCACAAAGTGCCGGGTCAGCTTGAAGATTCGCAGGATCCTCACAAACCTTACCACCCTGAGGAAACCAAGCACATCCTTAGCAGCTTTGGAGGAAAGCCCACTCAGGCCCACTTCTAGGTAAAAGGGCAGGATGGCCACAAAGTCAATGATATTCAAGAGGTTTTTGATGAATTCAAGTTTGTTGGGGGAAAAAACAACACGTACTAAAAATTCAAATGTAAACCACACCACGCAGACTCCTTCCACGTATGTCAGCGCAGGATCAGTCTCAATTTCATACTGTAGCACAGTTTCTGTCCCATTGACAACCTGCTCAGTTTTGTTTATAATAGTATTGAAAGCCTCATGCGTTTCCAGGCAAAAGGTTGTGATTGAAACTAGGATGAAGAACAAAGAGGCAAAGGCGATAAACTGAAACAGAAAGAGGGAAGAGAGACATCAGAACAACACAACTCTTCACATTAATACTAACAATGACAGTGATCATTATAAATCTTTTACTGATTCGTCCCCAAATGATTCACAAATTTGTATGTATAAAAATTTGTATCTAAGCCAGAGGAGAGCAGGAGACAGCTCACACATGTAGGCTAGGGGTCTGGGAGCAGGGAAAGTCTTGGTGATAGACACCATGACAGGCTGCAACTCATTCAGAAAGTGGCAAAAAATTCTTTAATCCAGTTGTCAACAGCCTCCATACACACCAATTGCAGCAAAATTTAAGGCTGTCCACCTCTCACATAGTGGAAAACTGGGCTGACCCTAATGGTCTTGAGATTATGGTTCAGGAATCCACATCTGCCCTGAAGGGCACCTCAGAGGGTCCTAGTAACAAACACCGTGTTTCCGTTGGATTGTCAATGATTCACAAACACAGGATATTTACTGATAGAAAATGCCTTCCATGTTACAGGTAGAGTTGGTTGCACAGCCTGTTTAGTTGGCAGTCATCCATCACTCATACTCTTAAGCAGGACTAAGAGTCAACCAACAGAACCTCTCTCACTGCCGTGGCAGAGCTTTGCCAGTGTGTTAGGATTCACAATCCTGCTATCAAAACTTGCAAATACAGGACAATCTGAACAAATGGGGAAATACAAATTCAATTCTAGTAGAGGCACATGGATAGATAAAATACAGTTAAATAACCTGGAGACAGCTCTCTCAGAGGATTGTTAAGGACTTACTTAAAAAACATTTACTGCCTGATATTCAACTCAGTCACGACAGTCAAGCATTGAAGAAAAGAGAATGTCCAGGACAGGATCTTACAAAAATTAACACTGAGCCAAATAGCTGGAAGAGGATATAAATTTTCTTATGCCCAGTATAACATGCCAAATGAAAAGTGTTTTGAGGGCAGTTGTTCCTTTGCTACAACGGTCAACTTAAGTGACAGTACTTTACCACCATGTTAGCATTCCAACAGCACTGGCATGGTGGATGAATAGACAATGTGTTTCAATGCCTCCCTGGGCCAGGGTTTATAACATGTTATCAATGTGCTTGTAATTCTGGATTTTCAGCTTAATAGACATTTTATAGCTGGTATTATCCTGGAAAAAAACTTTCTGAAGACGCAGATTTTTGAAGGCGTTAGGGGCCCAAAGAGAGAAAAAGATGCCTAAAGAGGCTTTTGGAAATATCTAGTGTCTATGTGCTTCCTTACGTATCTAACAGCTTGAAATCATACCATTGCATGATATCAAGAAAGAAACATTTCTTTCCAAATGGCAGCAAATGACTAACTCTTTTGGCTTTGGATCTTTATAATTTTAAACTGTCATTTGCTAATAAAACAAAAATATATCATAGGGATCTCAGAGCTTGAGCCAGGCTCTTCATCCTTTTTCATACTGTTTATTTTAGTAAATAAACTTAATGTATTCTATGTTTCCCTTAATACTACTTACAAATCACTCAGAGAATCACTCTTTTAATGTTAATCCCCAACCTGAAACTGAGTACCTTAAGGAAGCCCAGCAAGAAGAAAAAAAATTTCATATCTTCTACAACCAGCCTACTGGAAAAGGCAGCTTAGAGTCCAGGTCCCAGTGGCACACACAAGAGAAAATGTGGCAGCAAGATGCTGGCATGTTACCACACCAAAATCTTGAATCTCACTGAAAAAATCTGGTTACAAGGGAGACAGAACAGCAGCCATAAGCAAGAATCCCCCTGTTCCATCACTTTAATCCAGGCTGCAACATTGCAGGAAAACTGATTTTGTGTACTTTGGGTATCAATCACCAAATTTAATATCAGCACACAGATTTAGTATTGTGTGCCACAGGACTTCATCTGGGCTGGTACAACACTGAACAGTTGCATTTTCTAACACAAAACAATAGTTAGACAACAAAATGTTGTCTGTACAACCGGCAGAGAGAATTGCTTTTATTCTGAGAAACAAGTTTAAATTGCAATGCAGGTCTGGCAAATTTATTATATTCAGACTCACAAGATAGATCTATCTATCAAAAAACCCCATACATCTACCTATGTCAGACATTTGCAGCTTGTTTATGGCTTCCTTTCCTCAATCAATAAAAAAAAGTTATTACACCAGGCCCCTCAATTACAAATGCTCTAAATCTGTTATCTTTCAGAAACGACTGACTCAGGGACTGAACTGCACACTTACCATCCAGTCTGAACTTCTAGTCATGAGCTAAGCAAACCATCTTACACTGCCTGGCTGATTTTTACCAAACAGGCTTTTCCGCCTTTGCCTTAACTACAAAATCACTGCACGTTCATCGCTCATTTATTCCTGGCACCTGACACCAACGTACACGAAAAAGTCTCAGTCTTGTCTCAGACAACTGGAGTCAGCAAATACAAGCAGATTTATATAATCTAAGTGAATTAATCTCAGCAGATCTTTGCAAAATCTCTCCATAACATGTAGAGAGAATTTATCAGTCTCTAAGCCACTGGTGGGCTAAGAATGACCCTTGAAATGCTCCTGCTGCATCCTCCAGCATCCTTCAACACAGTGAAGGAGAGAAGAACCAAACAAATCTGTGGAGGTTGAGGATCACTGAAGCTAAACCAGCACTGCAGTTTACGATCTAGGTGGGAAGTTTTAATAGATAAAACATTGGGCAACCTCTTTAACAGCAACACTTTGGTGATTTCAGGCAACTGTGAACATTTTTGTCTGAAAAGAAGAGAAAATTACATTCAACCTGGCCAAACTAAAATTTACCAACAACTCAGATATAATAAGGATTAAATGTGCATTCAACAGTGCACTGAATCTAATAGTATGTAAATAATTAGCACCTGTTTCTGGGCTGCATTTCAGAAAGAGAGTCCATTTGGGTTCACATCCTTCCGAAAAAAATGCCAAATACCAAAGGATTAACTACAGGTAGAACTGCCTGACAAGCTATTTATTACTGTTTTGCTCAACACTGACACTGTGAAAGGCCACTGCGCACCTGGCACTCGGCACTTGGCAAAGCATATTGAAATTTTTAACCACGCATCTACATTCAACGGCACTTTATTAGCCCTAAAGGAAAATGACATTCAGTCATTTCCAAAATCCGCTGAGTATCCTACTCTGTTATGCCAAAGGCAATCATCTTTCAGAAGTTAGAACAAAGGCAAGAATAAAATACCAATCTGGTGACATTTCTTGATAATCCTGCAATTTCCATTCACAGCAATGTAAAACAATGAGATGCAGACATTTTGCCATGCACACAATTGCATATACATCACTGATTTTGAGCAAAGACACTCGTGCCTTTTATCTCTTGCTGCATTTTGTTTTAAACTGTAAATTCCTTGGATCAGGACATTCTGGAGAGACCTTGCACAGCACCTAGCATGATGAAACCTCATACATAAAGATGACCTACAATGCTATTGCAATACTCAGAGAGTTCAGAGAAAATGCAGGAAAATGCAATGTCCCACGCAAGAAGGAACATTTTATCAAAGAAAAATGTTTAGGAATTTACTTTACATTAACAAAGATTTTTCCTTAATATTATATTACATAATACTAGGCAATGTGTTGAAAAGACTCTAACAGTTTTTTCATAAACAGTTGTAACGATAGAAATGAAATTAAGTCATGTGCTATCCTCAATTTATGCTATCCTTCTTTTTCATCCTAATTCCATCTTCTCTCATTTTGAAGGTAATGAGCCTCTAAAAAACACATCCATTTTTGTTCATGTGGGCAAGCACTACATTTCAGACAAAGTCAGCACAGATGCAAACTCCCAGATTCTCTGGTGGATAGGACCAACCAAGTTCTCTTCCTCAGTCCTGTTCATGTCCACAATAATCGGGGTACCACACACAACTTTTGGGTGTTTTGTTTATGAAGCACTGTGGTGGGTTGACCTTGGCTAGATGTGGGTTGCCCCTGGCTGGATGCCAGGTGGCAAAAGCCACTCTATCACTCTCCTCCTCAGCTGGACAGGGGAGAGAAAATATAAGGAGAAGCTTGTGGGTCGAGAGAAGGACAGGGAAAGATCATTCAGCAATTACATCATGGGCAAAACAGACTCAACTTGGGGAAATAAGTTTATTGCAAATCAAAATCAGAGTTGGATAATGAGAATAAAACCAAAACTTAAATCACCTTCCCCACATCCCTCCCTTCTTACCGGGCTTAACTTTGCTCCCGATTTCTCTCCCTCCTCCCCGCAAGCGGTGCAGGGGGATGGGGAATGGGGGTTTTGGTCAGTTCATCACATGTTGTCTCTGCCGCTCCTTCCTCCTCAGGGGCAGGACTCCTCACACTCTGCCCCTGCTCCAGCGTGGGGTCCCTCCCATGGGAGACAGTCCTCCACTGACTTCTCCCACGTGAGTCCTTCCCATGGGCTGCAGTTCTTCACGAGCTGCTCCAGCCTGGGTCCCCCCACGGGTGCCGACCTTCAGGAACAGGCTGCTCCAGCCTGGGTCCCCTGCGGGGTCACAAGTCCTGCCAGCAACCCTGCTCCTGCCT